AATCCTGAAGATCACTCTATTTCCATATCATTGCTTCAACAATTTTGGAACAAATTTTTTGTTTGCTCCAAAGTTTTGAACCACCCTCGTAGTATAAGCTTTTCGATTTGTTGGAGCACAGATATTTGTGTAAAATGTATATGTAAAGTAAATATAGTATATATACTAGTTTTTCTCATTTCGCTCTATTTATTATTCTTTTAAAATTACGATTGACGTCAAAAGAGCATTCTAAAGATATGCATGTGATTCAAGTTGAAATTGACTTTTCGTATATATGTACAGTATATTTTGCTTAGCTGCCCATCCTTCTTTGCACGAAAAACTTGTGCACTTAACCGAAAAAAGCACTTAAGCGAATTTTCTTTACTACTTCAATGAGGAAGGTATCCAAATCCCTATGAAACCAATTAATGGAGGAGCACTTACCACGTAGAAATTACCGCAAGCGAAATTTTTACCGAATGGTATCTAATTATCTATATAACTACATAAATTAATAGCCATTTTCGTTGTTCTGCGAGATGAGCAAAATAAATAAAAGCTTGTAAAATGAGGTAATTGTAGAGCCAGTGCAGGTAAACCTAATACTTTCTTTGAGAGTTAATAATATTCGCACAATTTTTAAGGCTGGTATCGCCAATGCGCAGGTATGTTGAATGCATCTATCGGAGGAGTTTCCTTATAAATGTTAAAAATAATGCCGCTAGTGCTCATTTTAGGGTAGGTATCTTAAATGTGCACTTAAACATAAAGGCAGCAAAGCAAAATNTTACCAAAATACGTGTAGTACTCATAAGCACGTACATACATACCTATTACCTAGTAGTAAGTAGATATGTTGAAAGCCCTCTTTATTTGGTTACAAATGAAATGTCTGCACACAAATGCTTTATTGCTACAATTAAAGCCTTGCCAATTATCTTTTGCCAGATGCTCCCACATATTTGCTTATCATAAGCATTCACAAGCCCATAAATATACAAATCATTTGTGTACATCAATACCGTTGTAATAAGTTTTATGTTGATAATTTGTACTATATATAGTATGTATGTTCTTATATATTGTAATAAACATATTTAAATAAGACTTTTATTAACATTTTATAAAGATATTAATGGCATCATTTATCTGGCATTCACTTGACATTTAAGCTAATTGCAGAATAAAAAAAAAATATTAAGATCATTGACACTTTGAATGCGAGACGAAATAGCATAAATATTTCAATGCATGCGCTAAAAGTATTCAGCGGCGCCAGGAAAAATAAGCGAAAATGAGTATTGCATTTTATTTAAATGTTGTAAATTTACGCTAACGAAATCCTGCCAACTCATACAATCGTAAATGTGCTCATTTAAATTAAAAAAGCTACGAAATTAAAGAAATTCAAAACAAAAAGAAAACGCGTGGAAATGAAAACAATCGGACTGATAAATATCAACAGGTCGTCTGTGAAAAGTTGAACACAAATGAGGCCTTGAGAGCCAGAGTAGCCTAACTTACATTTCAAAAGAAGTTGAGGTCCACCTTAAGATGCATTACTAATTTCGAAACGGTAATATCCCCCAATTTGATTATTGATTTGGTTCGTCAACCAAATAAAAAATAATTTTATGTGCGATTTGATTCGTCGACCAAATAAAGAATACAATTTATTTGTGATTTGATTTATAGAGCGAATCAATTGGATTCGTGAGTTTTCAAATAAATAATACTTTTTATGCAACGCACTACGATTTTAAAGTATTTTCCAACTTCGAGTTCTGCGAAAAATGGTGCTTAGCAAGTTTGTAAATTTGAAAACTGAATACAAATATTATTAATACACTTTTTTTCGTGAGACTAATTAATTATTATATGTATTTCGGGATTTTCGAGTGTATTTCTAGACTTTTTAGACTACTTCGGCATTTTCCGGATTCTCGGACTATATCGATACCAATATCGATACAAATATTTATCATTATATCGATAAGAATATAAAAAAAAAAATATCTATAACAATAATCGGTAAATACGTCGATAAATATAAAGATTGCAAAAACGATAAATTTATCAATGAATATATCGATATCAAGATCTACTAACGAAAATTCTTGTAGTCTCGAAACTCCCGAAATAAACCAAAAAATCCCGAAGTTGTCTTGAAGATCCCGATATAGAGAAACCTGCTCTTTCATCCATCCTTGAACCGTCCGTGTATCAATGTGCGTATCTGGGACCAAGAATAGTGAATCCGTAAGCTCAAACTTTGCCATCTAGGATTTTCGCTTAGAACTTTCTGCCTCTTTAGTCATGGTATCTTCCCAAGAAACTTCTTGGTGAAGAAACCGTCGTTAGATAGTCGAAATTGCAGCTCCCTCGTGGCTGATGTTTCTTAAATCAAAATATGGAGAGGAGTGCATCCTAGAAGCGACTCTAGAGCTGCAGCTTCATATCAATCCAGTGGCGGAGAGACACGCCATTCTTTGTAGTTGTTGGAGACGTAGTGTAGTAGTTTTTTGAAGAGTTTCCGCCACCAAACTGCGGATGTGTAAAAAATCTAACAAAATATTTCCATTGGGAGAAATGTCAATGTGTGAATACTAAATATTCATACATAAGAACATACGTATGTGTGTAAATAAATATCTACATTTTTGTTTTAACCGACTTCACAAAAAGGAGACGGCTATCAATTCGTCGGAATATATATTTTTTTATGTACGTTACCGCATAACTTTGGACTACGTCTACCGATTTTTTCTATCGGAAAGGTGTTGCCTCAAGGATGGTCCCATATAAATTTAGTTTAGTTCCGACCATTTGGTCATAAAGAAATTGACGGTACTATTAAATTCTTATATGAGAATTGAAGTCGGTTTGGTTTTATGCTTAAAAATTACTTGTTTTATATTTTCTTATGCTATGTTTTCTATTTATATTTAGACATTCAAACACTTACGTACTTGCATACATAAGCATGTATGTAAATACACAATACAAAACACCGTTTTAGTTTTTAAATATTGTCATTGACATATTTTTACATGGTTGGATAGTTCGTCAGGGCTAATCGATGCAGACATTGATGGCCAGTGGGATTTCGAATATGTAAAGAAAATTTATCTCTGGCATTTTGAGTTCCTCAAATAATTAAAATAATTCTTTTCGCAAATATTTTTGGTTTTCCTTTTTCTTTTCGCTTTATTTTGATTTTCATTACGCTGCATTAGAAAGGTGAATGACTGTTTAACTGAATGAATGTAATTAGAAGAGTATGCATCTATGTATGTATGTAAAAGCATGCCGTAACCTCGTGATCGAGCGAAAAATGTCGATTTTGTCGTACTCGTGCCACTATTTTTTTACATTTACATATATCTAATGTACGCAAGTATCTAGATTTGTGTACAGTAGTACTAAGCCGCTTGCATGATAAATAATCGCTTATTTACCTAGTCAATGAAGGCTGCCAACTTTTGCGTTTTTGGCTTAAAAAATACCCTTCTGAGAAACTAGCCTAAACTAAACCCTTTCTAATTTCTTCCGGATTATTTCTAAACCAGTTGTAAAGTTTTTGTTGTGGCCCACTGTGTAACAGTTAAAAAAAAGACACACGGGCGGTATGGTAATTATGAAAGAGGAAGAGCTCTAGAGTATTGGATGTTGCATTTTTACTGTGTATTGAAGTTTCCAGAATGTAAATTATTTGAAAAATCTCGTTAAAACTACATCAATACCATCATCATTTACCATCAATATTGCCCTTAAGGGTATACAATGTATAGGGCGGGTCGATTTAAAAATCGCTCATTGCTCTGTGAAAATCGTATTCTAGGGATCAAAATAAGAAACTTTGCCGAAGGAACCATACCTCTAAAACGAATTCTGATGTCCCCCAATTTGGGTCGAACTTTTGGGTAGGGGCAAATTTTGAAAAATCCCACTTTGACCCATTTAGAGTGCTCCAATCGAGTCCAAATGTATGACCGACCCCCACTAACTTTGGAGGCCCGACCCACCGATGCCAGTGGCACACCCCCTGGAACCCCCCTGGGGGTTCACCATACAAACATTTAAAAAAATCGCCGGTTTTGCACTTTACATGAAAAAATCAGCGAAATGCCTATGTTTTTTCTTTTTGGAGTTTATTTTTCTCTTTAGAAATTTATTTAGTCAGAACATATGTAAATGAAAAAATGAATTTAAGTGAGTTATAGAAAAGAAACTAAAAAAAATTATTGTTTGAAGTCTTTTTTACTTTCAAGTCTGGGCAATTTCGCACGGCTCTCTAATGTCGTCGCCATAACAGCCTCTACATTTTCCGGTATAACCCGTTTGGAAACGCTAGCTAGCAATTGAACATGTCGTTCCGTTCCTTGTATGTGTGATGGAATTTTTGGATCATTAAACGGTGGATCATCTTGATTTAAATATTCTTTCAATGTATCGTACGGAATGCTTCGCGTGAATGGTGGTTCAAATACGATATTTATATCATTCAAATTGATCATTTCCGTATAACTTGTGCAATTAAAGTTTATATCTGGTTTTTTATAAACTCTAAGTTCCATTGGCTCGTCAACATCGGTTCGATAGCGTAGAATTTTCTTGATGGCACAGTCGCGCTTTTCTTTGCTATCATCAAACAACATTGATAACAAGATATTTTCCGAATGCGCATAATATGAATTATCTTTAATTACTTGATTGACAATTTTGCGTAAACGAGGTTCTAGAAATCGTGACCAACCAATGAACTTGAAAAATAATGCACTGCCGTACACGACAGAGCTGTAATACTTGATATTGAAGTACATTGGCACATAACATTTAATTATAAATTCAACCAGAATTCTTAAATTTGCATCTGGATTTTCCGTTGTCACATATAATCGCAATAATCTAGCGGCCTTGGTGAGCCACCGAGAATGTACAATTTTCCCTGGTTTGATGTTAGCCAGATCCACCGGAACCACGCCGCTAGAAATTGCATGGGCCATGTCGTATAAGTACTTCGAATCGGTGGAAAATTAAATTTTTTCTGGAGCAGGGGGCATATTTTGCAACTCAATTTTCTGGAAGCCGTCCACCACCTGAAAATATATAATAATAAAATAATTAAAAATGGTTGACAATTATAATAAATGAGTGATAGCAATAACTTACCGGAAGAGTTTCACAAGTTTCGATTTGACGGCTCAGTTTTCCGGTTGCCGATCTTGGTCCAGTGCTGGTTGATTTATCCAAAGCTTCAAACAAATGCCGAAACGGAAGTTCGTTGAAGTGTAGAAGGCAAACGAACCAATGCAATGGTCTTTTTAACAGCAATTCGAATCGTCGTATAATTCCACCGTGTGGGCCAGTGTTTGTTGGCTCACCGTCAGTGCATATTCCAATTAATGCATCCAGTGATATATTTTTATCGTTGAAAAAACCATTTAATTTGGTTGTTTTGTATTCAGCGGTTTCATGTTCCAGTCTTACGTAACCAATCAATTCAGAATTGGGTTCTCTCAAAATAACAAGATGAGGTTCTTTTACCATCCTAGTATGATACTTCTCATCAATTTTATCTATCGTTAAAGTATCATCTTTTCTGCCATCGAATGAAAACGCTAACAAATTGGTATCATCTAACCGTTTGCGAAGCACTTCTTGTCTGCATTTCTCTTTTTCTCTGCGAACTTTCGATTTATCCATGATGAGAGGTTTCCCATGCTTATCTTTAATTTTAAAATCTTGCAAAAGAGCGGTTCCCAATGCTGATGCTACTCTGTCAGGCACACCAAATCTGTCACATACCAAGGCAAAGTTAAAACAATCGTATCTCTCTGTGTATTGTGAACTTGTGCTTCTATCAATATCTTCTTGAACCGGTGGCGGTGCGTATGTTGAATCATCGGGATCTTGGTATGTTGGCATTGATGACATAGACGTTGCTCCTTGCTCTTCAGTTTCCATCACAAATGCATCCATTGTTAGTCTTCTCTGATTATGTTGATCGTGCATGAACTCTTTGAGGCGTTCGGGAACCCAGCCGCATGCACATGGAGCTGCCTTCAAATCGCATTTACATGTTCCAATGTAAAAAATTGTTTCCAGAGATTTTACATACTCTGTAAATTGTTGGGTGTTGTTTCTTCTCTTGATTTGCTCTTGATACTTGTCAAGCAATTTATTCAATTTATTAAATACACTTTTTTTCAGCATTATTTCCATACCAAGTTTTTCCCAAATTCCAATCAACTTATCTTGTACTTGAATAGTGAATGATTTATGGGAAAACTTTTTTTGTTCTGTTTTAGCACGTTCGCTTAAGTAAAAATAATATCTCAAGATATCCAGATGGGTTGGTAAATTAAGATCAGTTAAATCAGTAGACACACCAAAAACAGTAACATCATGCTTGGGTATATGACTCATTGGGTTTTCGATAGTTGTTGATGTAGTTGCTTCATCTTGCGGTGTAGAGGATGGTGGATTCATTGTAAACTTTTTGATTTGGAATGGTCACTTCACTTATTATTTTTTTTGAAATATTTTTTTATCTGAAATTAGCACTTCACACTTTGAGTTCTTCACAACGACTTAATGCATTCACAAAAACTGTTGCGTTATATATGGTCTACGAGACGAGGTAATAAGAATGAAATGGTAATTTCAATTCTACCTGCTGTGTCTTGTGGTGGCTTAAAAAAAAAAACACAAGCAATTTTACGATCTGCAATTGTGTCACAGTGATACCTTCATTGTTTAAAAGGGTTGCGGTGCATTCCAGTGATACCTTAATTGTTAAAATGGTTGCAAAAAACGCGCATTTCTTAAGAAGGTGCCTTAAAATACCCACAAAAAGGGTTGTAAAAACAACCTTCATTTCTTAAGTAGGTGCTATAAAAAAACTACACAAGTAAGTTTACGACATGCAGCTGTGTCTTAAAAAACGCACACAAGCAATTTTCCGATTTGCAATTGTGTCACAGTGATACCTTAATTTTTTAAAACGGTTGAATAAAAAACCCACACAACTATGTTTACGACATGCAAATGCATCACAGTGATGCCTTGGTTTTAAAAGGGTTGTAAAAACGCTAATTTCTAATAATTTTTTTTAATTTCTTTTCTATTACTAAGTTAAATTCATTTTTTCATTTACATATGTTCTGACTAAATAAATTTCTAAAGAGAAAAATAAACTCCAAAAAGAAAAAACATAGGCATTTCGCTGATTTTTTCATGTAAAGTGCAAAACCGGCGATTTTTTGAAATGTTTGTATGGTGAACCCCCAGGGGGTTTCCAGGGGGTGTGCCACTGGCATCGGTGGGTCGGGCCTCCAAAGTTAGTGGGGGTCGGTCATACATTTGGACTCGATTGGAGCACTCTAAATGGGTCAAAGTGGGATTTTTCAAAATTTGCCCCTACCCAAAAGTTCGACCCAAATTGGGGGACATCAGAATTCGTTTTAGAGGTATGGTTCCTTCGGCAAAGTTTCTTATTTTGATCCCTAGAATATGATTTTCACAGAGCAATGGGCGATTTTTTTGCCTCCCCACAAATCGACCCGGCCTAGTATACATATAGGAAAATTTAATTTAAACCGACTATTTTTCACCCTTGTGGATCGTTTTGAACCTAGTAGTTAGTCATTGAAATTTCCCTTCCTTCCTGTCGACCTATTGATCTGCATAACCAACATATTCTAAAGATTCAGATTAAAAAGTTTGAAATTTGGATGCAAATTTTTTGAATGTTCCTAAACTATGTGTTTTTTAAGGGGTTTGGTTAAAGCAATACGTTTATAAAAAAATAACAAAAAGAAACTTAACTTGAAAAGCATTTAGGGTATTCACAACGGTGTCGTATGTGTCATATTGTTGTATGTCGTAAACTTTAAACGCCTAAAAAATATATTCAGGGGGTTCGCAAAGTATCATCAAAGTCATATTATGAATTTCGCTGTGTTAAAAAATAATTGGTTGTGCTTTAAAGCTCTCTAAACATTTATTTAAGCGTTTAAAGTTTATGACATTCAATAATACGACACTTACGACACCGTTTGAATCTCCCAATTGTGAATATTTAAAGCCGCTTGAAACATGCGCTGTTATGGTTATGATTTTGATGAAAATTTGTTGAATTTTCCTAAATTTTGTACTAAGTTATTAGCAGATTCATTTGGCTTTGATTTAGGCTTGGTCAATATTTTGATAGAAAAATAACACAAAATATTTTATTTGAAAAACATTGTGAATATTTCAATAACATTAACACTTGCTCACTTGTTTGAGTAACTGTATACATATGTATGTTAGCTTTTCCTCACCACTAAGCGCCAATGAATTAGGTCAATGTCTCTAGGCCATTCACATTTTTTTTAAGCATTTCCTTTATTTTCTTGTGCATTTGTACATACACAGTTATTGTATGCAGATATGTATGTACATTAGACTGTATCACCAAAAAAAGTTGCGGTTTTTCCGCCGGTATTACGAAATTTATTAGATTTGAAGACGTCCACCAAAATATTTCGGAAAACTATTAAGATTTACGCGACTTGGACCGATTTGAAAATACCTCCGAAAATGGATTTTTTTAAGAATAAAAATAGTTTCTTAAAGATTTTTTTTGTTTTGTAAATCCCCTCAGATGGCAAAAGAGATTAAGCTTAAAAAATTTTGCATAAAAATACTTAAACATCCTTTCAACGGAATCGTAATAATGACATTTTTGATGCTGTTTTTTTTTACGTTTTCAAAGATTGATTTACGAAAACCTTGAATAACTGGGCCAAAACTATTTTGATTTAGACTTGTGGGGTCTCAGTAGAAGGTATTTCCCAATTTTTTTTTTCAAATACCAACACATCTAAATTCAACTTGGAATGACGTTCGTTCAACTTACCTTTCTCTTTCATCCTTTGAATGAGTTTATTATTAAAGAAGTAAACATAGTGGAAAATACCTTTCCAGTGATACCAAGTCTAAATCGGAATAGTTTAGGTTCATTTACTTAAGTTTTTCTTACACCAATCTTTGAAAAAAAAACTTAAAAAACGGCATCAAAAATCTCATTATTACGATTCCGTTTAATATTTTTTTAATTTTTTTTTTAATATTTTTATGCAAATTTTTTAAGCTTAAACCGTTTTGTCACTTGACAGGATTTTTTTGAATAAAAGATATTTTCAAATCGGTACAGCTCACGTAAATCTTATTATTTTTTCGAAATATTTTGGTGGTAGTCTTAAAACATAATAGATTTTATAATTCCAATGGAAACAGAGTACCGATTTTTTTTCGTATGGGGGGTGATGCAGTCTAATGTACATATGTACATCTGTATTTGAATGAAAGCGCTGGGCATAGTCGTTTTATTATTATTTCCGCACAGTTTTATTGTTGTTATTAATGTAAATACTAGAACCTTAAATAATTCGTTTAAAATCGTTTTAGTTTTTTCCTTTGCTTTGGCAAAATATAACTTTTAACTGGATTTCGCCGCGCTTTAACATCGACGATTACATTGTTTTTTTGTTTTTTTTTTTTAATTTACAATGACATCATTTCTATCACTCGTGACTTATTAAAAACATTCATAAAGCAATGTTTAGTCAAATATGTAAACAGGAAGTAATTTTTTTTCCATGACTGTATGGTAGCATACGAATGTGAGTAGGTATAGCACATATGTAAATTCCGACGGTTTATCATAGCAATGTGCCAACTGTCTTATGGTATCTTTTTTAGCTCAAGGAAGGCGATTTTTCTTACACTCTTTAGACCAGGGGTGGGCAGATTTCTCTCTCCTAAAGCAGTGAAAGAGCCAGCAAATGCCACGCAAGAAGTAAAGCAGTTCTCAGGGTAAAGGGGGTGTTAAAAATACTGACCATCCTCCCTCCTTTGAGGAGGATTCTCCTCAAAAAAGCAAAAGGCAACTTTGCCCATCTCTGCTTTGGACTAATACCGAATTTGCAAAACGCTTTAACGAAATTTTATGGTCGAATTCCAGAAGAAAATATTTTCTTCACTACTTTTTCAAGTAACAGAAATATGAAAAATATTACAAATAATAAATTGTTTTTTTTTTTTCTTTAATTAAAGTTTTAATAATGTCCTTCTGGGGGCAACTGCCAAATCCCCTAATAAGCTTGGCGTCAAGTCCGACCCTTAGGCTCATACACCGCATGCTCAGAGACATGATCCAGTAGGGTGAAAAGGTGGCTGCCTATGCGGAGGACGTTCATTCATTTCATTTCATCTCCTTTCAGCTTTCTCTTCATGCACATCCATCTTAGGAATGAGTGGACGGGGGGTGCGTGGTTGGAAGGAGTTACCAGTGAACTTTCTCACGGATGGTTCGAAGTTTGACAGAAGGGTAGGTGGAGAAGTCCTTCCAGTCTCCATCAACGCTAAATTTTGGCCTCCAGATTACTGTAGCGTTTTCCAACCAGAGGTTGCTTCTATTAAGGAAGTAGTAGATTGGCTACTGATGTGCACGATGGCGGCAAGTGAGGTTAAGGACGCTCGCTAGTAGACGAATGCCTGACTTCTCTTGCGGACTTACACATAGGTGTATTTTCCTTCCGGCCTGTGAAACCCAAAAATTTTAAACTTTTTATTTAGAATTTTTGGAAAAATTTTGAGTATGCAGCTTATTAAATTTTAGTAGATTAAAGTGCCAATTTCAAGACGCTAGAAAATTGCGTTGATTTTTAATAATTTTTTTGGCTGACGGTGTTGTGCATTTTCTTCCATATAAAGTGCATACCCAAAATATTTCCAAAAATTCTAAATAAAAAGTTAAAAATATTTGGGTGCAAATGTTAAAGTTTTTTTGAAGTTTCGTAATTTTTATACAATGTGGCGCTGGTTAGGTAAAGTGCTAGACTTTAATAAAAAAATATACAAGCATTAAATAAACAAAAGAAAAATTACCAAAACTAGTCAAAATGTCACTTGACTTAATCAGCTGACCACAAGTGTATGTATGTACATATGTACATAACATCGATAAGAAATCAGTGTAATAAGTAGCATAATCAAACAGGTTGATAACGGTCTTATTATTTTTTATCGAAGTTATTTTGTAAAAACCAGAAAAACAACAACACGTGCGTGCGGTTTATTTATCACACTTTTTGTATTGTATAACACATTAAAGGTTTTATAATTACATATTTCAGTTAATTTTAGCATTTTTCATTAATCAAACCAATTACAATTGATATTATTTCTGCACTTGAGATTCATATTTTTCTCGCTCAAAGTTAAATTGTCTTTATTGAAATCTCTAGTCTAGACGTAAGTAGCCGTTATAACTATTAACTTGGAACCAACTTCTATAGATACAGTAGTCATCTTGAGGGATTATATACAAGAGCTAGTGTTAAGCACCGTTTTTGTCACTAGCACCGCATATTTGATATAATCTATTTCGAGAAGGTATTTATTCAATCATATTCAACTTAGTTTCGCTTAGTCGCTACTGGCAATTTGACATTGAACGTGTTATG